ACCGGGGTATGGTTGACCGTAACCTGGGTATTGTCTATAATCTAGTTGTTGGGGTGGTTGGCTATAACCTGGTCGTTGAGCGTCACTAGGACTATCACCTGGAATGGATTAATTAATTAATTAATTAATCTAGGATTTGGTACTTGATCTGATATCAATGATTGCAATTGATTGATTGAAAAGTTACCTTTTTTAATTGGTGGTTGACCACTACGTTGGTCAACTCCTTCAGGTGTCTTGACTCCTTGTGGGAAAGCATGAACGAATACCTGTAAATTAATTGGATTATCAATGTGTAACTTGGAATCAAAGAAGAAATCTATCAGAGATTCGATGAAGAAAGGGTTAGTATGGATGGAGCTTTTGTGGTAAGGTAGTTCAGAAAGAGAATAAAGAGAATTATTTTTGGAAATAATTAGTGTAGGAACTTACCGCGTTAGCAGCGAGTGCCATTAAAATGGCGAGAGTTGTAGCAGAAGCCATTGTTTGTAATAGTTTAACGAACAACTTCTTGGAAGAAACGAGTACTGTGATAGCTCCCAAGGTGGTCAGTCTTTTTATATACCCATTTTGAGATAACAAACAGCGCCCGCGTATTTTATTTGGGCGCTTCGTATGCTAATAATCGTGACACGTATACCATCGACCAAACTGTAGCTTTTAAAAACACTATTAATTAGCCGGTGAAAAATATAATTACCGGGTGAGTTATTAATAGTTGATTGCGGCGTGCGTCATTATTGTTAATTAATAAAAAATAATTGCTCTTTGTCGTCATCAAAAGCAATCACCGACGGACGAATTATTATTATTAATTAATTGCTATCAAGTCTCGTTTATTTCTTTAATTATTGTAATTGAAAGGTGGGTTTTTTGGCCTAAAAGTCGTTAATTAATCCAACAGTTCACGATATATTTTATTAAATTATCGAATTATTAACAAAGGAATTATTATTGATGGTCACTTTGTTAAGAGATACAATCTTAATTAGTTAAAAAACATGTTTTTGTCAGAAATTAATTTTGCTTTCAAAACAATTGCAGTAGTCAATATACGATAAATTAAAATAAAAAACCCATAAAAATTCCTAAAATTAAATAATAAATAGTATATGAGGCATTAATCGTTGAAATTTTAAAAATAAAAAAAAAAAAATAGTTAAATACAAAAATTAATTTGACTCTTTCAAATCAGCTGCTAGTAACTTGTCCGTGATTTGGCAACGCTGTACTCCGGTTGATGACATTTTCATTTGCACAATATAAACCTTAAACACGTTTAAGTTTTTGCAGTCAGTGTAAATAAATAAATTAGTTTGAATTTATTGAATGGTCTGAAGCTCACGCGCTACACGCAACGTTGCCAAATATTTTGACTCCATATTAATGTAAGTTACTTGAGAATTTTTTGTGATTTTTAAATATTAATTTCTCAATAAATATCTCGGTAACTGATATATTTTATTGCAAAAAAAGAAACCTAAATATTTCGAAAATCTAATTTTTAGTTTTTTTTTTACTTCATCTAATCTATGACTGATAGTATAATTCGAGAAATACTGAAAATGTCTGACTTATTTCTCGTAAGACTCTGAACAAATACTAACATTTAAAAATTTTATTTTTTCAAAAATTTGTCCGGTAAAGTATAATTTAAACCTCACTATTAGATAAATAAGGACTTTAATAACTATTAGAAAAAAATTTAATTTACTCATAATCTAATATTTTTTATTTTACATTGGCGGCGAAAGGACCTCCTTAATTAATAATGATTCAGCATAAAAATTTATAAAATTACTAAACTTTGGAAATAAATTCTTGGATAAATAATTCCCGATTGATTTGTTTGGAATAACTTTGTCGCGTGACAGACAAAGATCCGTTTAAAAGACAAAATTTTTTAGAGTCTCCTCGAGCACTAAAATTGTTTGCATCCTGGAGAAATGATTAATTTTATAAATCATGATGAATCATGCTTCACCAAAATCCAGTCAGTGGTATCGTCTAATTCGAGGAGCGCATAAAGAATCGTCGAAGAAAAACCAACTCAAATCTCAAAAGTTTATCAACAATATCTCAATTAAGTACTTAGAGACTAAAAACTTTTAAAAGTGTCTAAATATTTATTTAAGCGATAATTTGGCAACTGCAAACCAGAAAAAGGATCAACACCAGCCTTTTCTTTTATTAATTCAAAGTCATCTTGAAGTTACTCAGAAGAACGATCAAAAAATGACATGAGGTTTAGGAAATTGTAATGAAAAAAATCATTATTCAATATTTATTTAATCCAAAACGGTTAAAAATTTTTGCCAAGAATTATAAACCTAAATTTTCCTGAATATCTACCAAGTTTCAACGTGCTTTTTATGTTTAGAACCTCCTTCCGTTTTGACTTCAGTTTGATAACCCCATTCAGCTACACTTATTCCAAAAACTCCAGTTCTAATTTTTTGCTGGTCAGTCGTTCTATTTTTGTTAGTTAAATTAACTTCTTCGTATGAGCCGTGGCGTTCCCCGTTTCCATATTGAGGTACAGTTAGAGGATCAACTCCTTTATCAGTAGGGTTATGATATTGATTATATCCAGAATCTTGTGGGTATTGATATCCAGGGTATTGAGACTGGGGATATTGAAGATATTGATAATTTGGATTTTGAGGATATTGATAATTTGGATATTGAGGAGGTTGCTGGTATCCTGGGTATTGAGGTGGATACCCTGAGTACGGAGGAGGTGGATATCCTTGGTACGGACCGACTTGTGGAGCTGCGCCATTTCCTGGATATTGACCTGTCATTATAAGATACATCAGTATTCAACAATTAAAAGTAATAATAAAGAAATTACCTCCTTGGAGGTATGCTTGACCTGGTGCTTGTGGAGCAGCATTGGAGTAGATCTGCAAAAAAAATAAATAACTAGTAAAATGCTAGTAACTTTGAAAACTACTGAAAGATGATAACAACGACAAAACTGTTGATGGATCATCAACGAATCACCGCTCATGGGAAATTTATTTTATTCGGTCGCATTGTTGGTATCAAATTAATCCAAGCGAGGCTGGACAGACAAGAGGCTCCAGCAGAGCGAAGGTATCTCGCCGGGAATTTCAAAATTAATAAACAAATCTGATTTATAAATAATTTTAGGTGAGAATAAACGTACCGCAAGGGCTGACAATGCCACCAGAAGGACGAGAATTGAAGTCGTAGCCATGGTCGCTCCTTATTTCGTTGACTTCTCAAAGAAAACGTTGTACTGTAACGAACCACCAACACCCGGTCGTTTTATACCCGTTTCATGCACACTTCGTCATCAGTTTATTTTTTTAAAACAGTTTAATCGCCCTCTAAGAACCGTTCCTGTCGAGGTTAGTCTTCCTTACTGACGGTTCCTCCACATCCCCACTCCTGACTTCTTCTATTCCCGCTTACGCAGTGGCTTCTTATCACCGCGGCATACTTTTGCTAACTCTGATTGGTTGAAAATCACCAAAGTGGGGAAACCGCTCACAAGATTCTTATCTCAGAAGAAATTACCGAAGTGCAAAAAATTATTCTCTTCAAGGATCTTAATCTGATTTTAAACCTTTAAAATTTTTTTTACTCTTTTAAGACCAAATTTCGTCCAAAGTTTAAATTGTTATAAAATAGTTTAAAGAATTATTAAAAAAAAAAAAAGAAAAAAGTATAAAAAGACCTCTAATTGACTTATTGTTTTTAAAATTAATCTAGTGATGCATGACTTTAATTTGTCATCGTTAATCCCATTTAATGATTAATAATCATTAATTAAATATAGTAATAAACTCTTATCAATTAATTAGGTTAAAAAAAAAAAAGAAAAATACTTTTAATGAATAATTTATTCGGAAGTTTATTTAACAAAGAAAATTAGCTTTTTTCACTCAATATTCCTGTTTAAAAACAGTCCTAGTTGCTGTTCCTTCGCTGGTAGTTTCTCTATCAACCTCCTCATGCAAGCTAGGATACCTTGGAACTTTGACATTCATAGATCCGTGGGAATTTGTCTTGTCCCAGTGACTGGACTCATATGTCTCCTTGGATCCGTGATATTCTCGCAATTTGGGTTTAGGTTCAGGTTTTGAGTATTGAGGAGCCGGATTGTAAGCAGGATAGCTTCCGTATGGAGGTTGGGAGTAACCATAGCTAGGGTATCCTTGATAAGGAGAAGGTGCTGGAGGATAAGCAGGATATTGAGCATAATTAGGATACTGAGTTGGTGGTTGATTGTAAGGATATGATGGTCCTTGACCGTAACCTAGATATTGACCTGGTTTAATGTTTGCATAATTAAAAATTTTAGCAAAGTATTTTCATAAAATTGTGAAGAAAATTTACTGTTATATTGAGGAAAAGCATCTGAGAAGATCTGCAAAGAAAGATTTAATATTTTATCTTAAAAATATTTTTATTTATAAAGTTTAGTAAAAAATAAAATACAATTTACCGTAAAAGCCTCAAGTGTTATAATTAATATAATTTTATTTGTAGCCATCGCTGCTTCTAATTGAATTGATAAGCTTGTGATCAATAGTTGGTCTTTTTATACTGCTTTGGTATGACGTTATTTTTAAATTATTTTATAACAATTTAAACTTTGGAAGAAATTTGGCTTTAAAAGAGTAAAAAAATTCTAAGGTTTAAAATCAGATTAAGATCTTTGAAGGAGAATAATTTTTTGCACTGCATTAATTTCTTCTGAGAAAAGAATCTTGTGAGCAAAAGTATGCCGCGGTGATAAGAAGCCACTGCGTAAGCGGGAATAGAAGAAGTCAGGAGTGGGGATGTGGAGGAACCGTCACTAAGGAAGACTAACCTCGACAGGAACGGTTCTTAGAGGGCGATTAAACTGTTTTAAAAAAATAAACTGATGACGAAGTGTGCATGGAACAGGTATAAAACGATCGGGTGTTGGTGGTTCGTTACAGTACAACGTTTTCTTTGAGAAGTCACCGAAATAAGGAGCGACCATGGCTACGACTTCAATTCTCGCCCTTCTGGTGGCATTGTCAGCCCTTGCGGTACGTTTATTCTCACCTAAAGTTATTTATAAATCAGATTTGTTTATTAATTTTTAAATTCCCGGCGAGATACCTCCGCTCTGCTGGAGCCTCTTGTCTGTCCAGCCTCGCTTGGATTAATTTGATACCAACAATACGATCGAATTAAATAAATCTCCCATGAGCGGTGATTCAATGATGATCCATCAACAGTTTTGTCGTTTTTATCATCTTTCAGTAGTTTCCAAAGTTACTAGTATTTTACTAGTTATTTATTTTTTTTTTGCAGATCTACTCCAATGGTATGCCGCAATATGGCCCAACAGGATATGGTCCAGGTAATTTATTATTTATTGAAAATCCTTTTAATTAAGCTAATTATTGCACCACGCAATAATTATTTATCTATAAAGGGGAATATTTCTCAAGTATGATGATATTTTATTGAAGGTTCTCCTCCTCCGGGATTTAATGGAGGGGATCATGGTTGGAACCACACTGATAAATGGTCTAACCACAACGTAACTCATGATGACGGAAAATCTCAGTTGTATTGGTGGGGAATGCACATGGGTGACTTTAACTCTCAACACACGATAACTACTGATGGAAATTCTAGCCATTATCAGGAGCATCATTATTGGAAATAAATCTTCTGAGAAGAAACAAAAATTCCCGACAAATTTACAATCCGAACTATAAAAATTCTAGGGATTCACTTTAGCAGATTTCAATTAATTGTTAAACGATAAAAGATTTCAATCTAAGTTTACAAAAAAATTATAAATTGAATCATAGTAAACTGTTTATCAAAATATCTTTAATAAATATTGAATACTGATTATTTAATGATTTTTTCATTACAATTTCCTAAACCTCATGTCATTTTTTGATCGTTCATCTGAGTAACTTTAAGATGATTTTGAATTAATGGAAGAGAAGGCTGGTGTTGATCCTTTTTCTGGTTTGCAGTTGCCAAATTATCGCTTAAATAAATATTTAGACACTTTTAAAAGTTTTTAGTCTCTAAGTACTTAATTGAGATATTGTTGATAAACTTTTGAGATTTGAGTTGGTTTTTCTTCGACGATTCTTTATGCGCTCCTCGAATTAGACGATACCACTGACTGGATTTTGGTGAAGCATGATTCATCATGATTTATAAAATTAATCATTTCTCCAGGATGCAAACAATTTTAGTGCTCGAGGAGACTCTAAAAAATTTTGTCTTTTAAACGGATCTTTGTCTGTCACGCGACAAAGTTATTCCAAACAAATCAATCGGGAATTATTTATCCAGGAATTTATTTCCAAAGTTTAGTAATTTTATAAATTTTTATGCTGAGTCATTATTAAGTTAATTATTATCTTGAAGGCAAAATTAATTTCTGACAAAAACATGTTTTTTAACTAATTAAGATTGTATCTCTTAACAAAGTGACCATCAATAATAATTCCTTTGTTAATAATTCGATAATTTAATAAAATATATCGTGAACTGTTGGATTAATTACCGACTTTTAGGCCAAAAAACCCACCTTTCAATTACAATAATTAAAGAAATAAACGAGACTTGATAGCAATTAATTAATAATAATAATTCGTCCATCGGTGATTGCTTTTGATGACGACAAAGAGCAATTATTTTTTATTAATTAACAATAATGACGCACGCCGCAATCAACTATTAATAATTCACCCGGTAATTATATTTTTCACCGGCTAATTAATAGTGTTTTTAAAAGCTACAGTTTGGTCGATGGTATACGTTTCACGATTATTAGCATACGAAGCGCCCAAATAAAATACGCGGGCGCTGTTTGTTATCTCAAAATGGGTATATAAAAAGACTGACCACCTTGGGAGCTATCACAGTACTCGTTTCTTCCAAGAAGTTGTTCGTTCAATTATAACGAACAATGGCTTCTGCTACAACTCTCGCCATTTTAATGGCACTCGCTGCTAACGCGGTAAGTTCCTACACTAATTATTTCCAAAAATAATTCTCTTTATTCTCTTTCTGAACTACCTTACCACAAAAGCTCCATCCATACTAACCCTTTCTTCATCGAATCTCTGATAGATTTCTTCTTTGATTCCAAGTTACACATTGATAATCCAATTATTTTGCAGGTATTCCTTGATGCTTCTCTTCAAGAACCTTCTTCAGCAGATACTTTGGAGTATAAACTTGCTCCAGATTCTTCAATAGAAGGTAATTTCTTCATGAATCCCATGATATTCTAATGTATCATCAAAAATATTCAAGCCGTTTTATTTAATAGGATCATTAGACCTAAAAATATTAAAATTAAAGAAAATCTGGGCCCATAACCTGCACTGATAGAAGAATTTGTTTATATTTAATAATTATTAACTGTTGATAAATGATTTTTTAACATAGAATTGAATAAATATTTATTAACAGTTAATAATAAATAAATTATTTATTAAATACGAATTATTAAATGTTAATAAATATTTGTTAATAAATTCTTTCTCAGAGTCAGTTCAACCAGAAGCTCATAAATCTAACTCAACAAGACACAGTGTTCATCCTCAACCATCTATGCGAAGACTTCAGGATCGTCTACCTACTGCACCACATCATAACATCAACAATCACACCCTACCTAGATTTTATTCAAACAACACTGTCCATAAAAATTCATTAAACTCAACATCATTCTCACCATTACAGCCAACATCGCTAATGTCAACAACAATGGGACCACCAACAACAACAACAAGACCTAGATACCCAAGACCTGAACCACTACCTTCTCCATTTAATCATTACATCCCAGCACCGCCTCAGCAACCACCTTTCAACTGCTACTGTCCAGGACCAGTTTCTTATCCAATGTACTACAATTATTATCCACCACAGTACCCTTTCTTCCCAACTTACCCCAAATCCGGGCAAAGACCAGCTCCATATAACAACATGCCTAGCTCTGGTCCATTTAATCAATTTCCAACCCGGCCTTCTGGGTTCTATGACAGATTAGAACGTCCGTCGCTCCCTGAATTCAACAATCAGAATACTGGAGCACCAAAGGACCCTTTGAATATGTTCGATGAACCTAGCACGACTACTGAGGCTCCTGGGTACGGTTTTCAGCTGAAGACTGTCTCGCGTAACAGGACTGAAGAAGGATCGTCTTCACATTATAGCTCTAGCAGTAGTTGGTGAAGAATTCATTTTTGAAGTAAAGATTAAAAATTATTGTGTGGAATAAATAACTTTCTTCTTAATTTAAAAAAATTACTGCATGTTTTTTTTTTTTTAATTTTGCAATTGTATATTTAAAACTTGGATTAGGTGTCGAAGAAAAATTATTAAATATTATTCTGTGGAATAAATAAATTTTTTCTTAATTTCAACAAATTAGCGTGTCTTTTTTTATCAATTTTGTTACTTTATATTTTGTTGAAAATTTTTAAATTTGAATTTGGCGCCAAAAATAAGTTTCTCTTTTCAGCCGCCAGAGGCTTGGTTAATATTTTTCATTTTTCAACATATTTTTTTTTAATTTTAATAAATATAATTATATTCAAAAACCTGAAAGAATTGATTGAAAATTTTAATTGACAAAAAAATTACAATTTAACTATTAATTTATAAACTAAAAGGTTAACTTTTAAAAAAAAAATAAATGAAACTCAATTTAGTAGACATATGTCAATTTTTTTGATTTTTTTTACAAATTAATTATAATATTCCTTAAAAATTCTCACATGTAATTTTTTTTAATTTTTTTATTAAAACTGTTTCATAATAATTTTGGTGTTATAAAAATCCAAAAAATTAACAGATGTCTTTTAATAATTGTATCATAAAAAAATCACAGTAAATAAATTTTTTTTTTTTTCATTTTAAAAAATTACTCTTCCTTTTTTTAACTCTGCAATTTTATATTATATATTATTATTTAATATTTATATTATATTTATATTATTTTAAAATTTGAATTTGGCGCCAAAAAAGGTTTTTCTTTTTTGCCGCCAGAGGCGCTAAAGTTAGTGTTCAAGTTTAGTCCTGCGCTGCAGATGTTCGTAATGTTCCGGAGAATTTACTTAGTATTGTTCTAATTTTTCACATATTTTTTAAAAATTATAATAAATATTAGTTAATTAAATATGATTATATTCAAGAACTCGAAAAAATTGATAAAAGTAATTAACAATTTCAATTTAACCATTAATTTATAAATTACAAGTTAAACTTTTATTTTTTTTTTTCAAAAAAAATAAATTAAAAAAAAATGACATTAAATTCAGCTCTCGACCATTTTTTAATTATTTTTAAAAAATTCATTTCAATTTTTTTTTCTAATTTATTTATTATAAAAATTATTAAATATTTACTAAATCAATTTTCATAAAAAAAAATTATTTAGATAAAAAATTGCATCGTAACGGCTCAGCGTCTGCGCATGCGCAGAACTTGTCCGCCATTTTGGACGCCAATCCCTCTGACAAAAGCGCGCGCGCGGTTGTCATTGTTTCTCCCGGCATTACTACGTCAAATTTTTGTTTACAATCATTATAAATTGCGCGTAAATACTTTTTATTATTAAAATATACTAATTACAAATAATTATGGTCATAATTCTTGCCACTGAGCATTAAATATTAAAATCTCTTCTAAAGTAGTTTGTACTGAGCTTTCTTCCATTTTTTGTTGACATTTAACCATTACTTTTGACATTATTGTTTTTTGAAGTGTTTTTTTTTTGTGACAGTTGATAGAATTAATTGTCAAGTGTTTTATGGTGTATTTTTGCTAGTGACAAGTGGTGAATATTTAATTAAATAGTTTTTTTTAAACAATAACTGATTAATTAAGTGTCATTAAAATGGCGGTGTGTTCCTCAAGAAAATGCAACTTCCTGGAAAAGGTAAGATTTTTTGATAATTAATTTTTATTAAATAAAATTTAGCATATTTATAATTTTTTAATTTTATTCAACAAAAAAATTATTTTTAAAAACTGAATTTTTATTTTTTTTAATTTAATATAAATTTTTTTTTTTAATTTTTTTTGCTATAATTTATTTGTTATAAAATTATTAAATAGATGCTAAATTAATTTTCATATTTTAATGAAATTAAAATTAGCTGTCTCTTTAAAATTTTTAAATTTTATGTAACAAAAAAAATTATTTTTAAAAAATTGCATTTTTAAAAATTTCTTACTGTCAATTTTTTTTTCTAATTTTTCTTGCCATAAATTATTTGTTTTAAAGTTCTTAGAATTAAATTTTATAAAAATAAAAAAAAAATTCTAAACTGCAGGAATAGAAAGCAAAAAATAAAATCATGGTTCCAATTACAAAAATCATAATTATTTATTAATTATTCTTGTTTTTATTATTTATAATTATTCTTCACAAAACGTTCAGCCTATAAATAGTTGAGTCACAATATTCAGCTAAATACATACGTTGTTATTACAATATTCATTAATAATTATCAACAATTTAAAAAAAAAAAAAAAAAAAAAAAAAAAAAATTACCACTCAATTGTTCACTTATCATTTATTTATTTTTTGACAAAAGTATAAATTATAAATAATTTTTAATCGTAATTACGTGATAAAAAAAATATTACCGCATACATATCCATGCATTACCTTGTTCATATTATTTAAAAATTATTAATAATTGTTAACGCTAACAAACTACTTAATATTGTTTGTATATAGGTGGAAATTTTTTTATTGGACTAACGATCACAGCTATTTTTTTTTGTTTATTCATTGTTTAGTTCTTTTTTTTTTATTTTTTCTACGTGTGCCTATATATTATATATTTTATATATATTTATTTATGTATATTATAGTCAATCAATAATTTATTTATTGATTCCAGGTTTCATTAATAATATGATTATCATTGTTTCGTAGTTTTTTTGTTATTGGTTAATTTTAAACATCATTTGATCATCGTTTCTTTGTTTAATTAGAGAAAAAAAATTTATTTTACGGACAAAATTATAAATTTGTGTACTTTCTTGTATTTGTAAACTCATTTCATTTGCACACCATTTTTTTTACAAATAATATCGTAAGTTAGGTAATATAATATAATATTATGCACACCTTTGTCATTTACACTCAACGCACTCTGGTGTGTAATTATTATTCACACATCAATTCCCACTAATTTGGTGTGCAAATAATTTTTATTTAATTATCTATGCACACCATTTTTATTCTTACAAAAAAACCCACTTAAAACTTGGAGTTAATTGCACACCATTTAATAGGTTCAGATGTTTTAATATTTTTTTTATTAAATTTGGTGTGCATTTAATTAATCAAAACAGTTGATACAATAAATTATTAACAAAAAATGGTGTGAAAATAATTTTTTTTATTAATTATCAATGCACACCATTTTTATTCTTACAAAAAAACCCAATAAATCTTGTAGTTAATTGCACACCAATTTATTTAGTATACAAAAAAATTATTTGCACACCATTTAATACGTTCAGATGTTCAAATATTTTTTATTAAATTTGGTGTGCATTAAACAAAATATTTAAATCATTATTATGCTTAAACAATGGTGTGCATATAATTTTGCTTAAATATTAATGATTAATTCTTTAAAAAAAACTTAAAAATTGCACACCCAAAAGTGCAAAAAATTCTACTGCACAACTAATTATGCACACCATTAATTAATTTTATTCTTATGAAATGTTTACTCATAATAACTATTGAATTACAATTGCACACCTCAAATTAACATCAATTACACTGGTGTGGAAAAATCTTATTATCTACACGCCTTTCTTCACACTTAGAAAAAAACGTACAAAATTCATCCTTAATTAAAATTGCACACCCTTTTACACTTGACCATTGTGTGCAATTGTTAAATAATAATTATATATTTACGTATTAAATAATTGTTTTGATAAACAATAAAGTACTGACCGCTCACTACTTTATAGTTTAAGAAAAACAATTACGTATGATTACTTATGATAATTGTCTATAAGCTGGGCCCTTTTTAATTTTTATTTCAAAGATCAAAATTCCTAGTTTTACAAAGCAATCAAAAATATTTCTATCAAACTACTCAATTATTAATTGTTAATTATTAATTATTAATTATCGTAACCTAATTAAATAATTATTTGAGAAAAAAAACTTATTTTTCTTGCGAATCGAGCCAATAAAAAAATCAAAACTTTCCGTACAAAGTCTAATAAATAAAAAAATTAAATAAATTATAATTATTTTTTTAAAATAATAATCAGGCGCTTTATATTGCATGCCTTTAATATTTTGTTAATACATATTTATTCATACCAATTAACAAAAAAAATATTCGATTAGTCAATGTTAATACGTACTATCTTCACGGTGCAATTGATAAAATAAAAAAAAATTAAATTAATTGAATCAAAAATTAAAAACTAAAAACTATTCACCGATTTTCCAACTTTTAACCACAAGTTTCGCTTAATAATTAATTTACTACTAAAGTTATCAATTATAAATAATATTTATTTTTTTTTTAATATTTTTAAAATTTATCACGGTCACAGCTAAATCCACACAGCTTATCCATAATCGACAATATCACAATAACTCCAACATATTTATGTTTTTAATCTCGTATCATTGATAATTGTTAAGGTATATAATAAAAAAAAAAAAAAAAAAAAAAGAAATTTATTTTAAATTTATTAATTGTAAATAATGATACGAGCTCAGTCGATCACAGTAGAATTTATTTCACAAATTTTAATTCGTTAGTAGGTTGCGTTAACATTTAATTTTTGTGATAATTAATTTATACTTTTATATTTAGTAAAAGTCTAAATTCTACGTTAGGTTTGTTAGTAAAGCTTGATTTTTTTTTGTAAATTAATTGTGAAAATTTTTATTTATTATAATTACTGCTGATTTTTTTCGGACGACGAAGCTATCAGGGTGCAATCTCGTTGCAGCGGTTTCACTCTTACACGGTAAAATTTCGTACCTTGAGGCACGTGGTAACGATTCTCCTTCTGTAAATAATAGTATATATTTTTTTATTAATTTTAATTAATAATAGAGAATTTAGATTGATTTAATATAACTAAAAATTTATGTTTAAATTATAAAAAAATTGGTTGTACCACGAAATCTCCCCGGACAAAATCTCCCCGACAAAATACGCTTCAAAATCTCTTTGTGCCCTTTTATCATGATTTTTTGTGTATATTTACACGAAAAATACCATCACAACTGTCAGGAATGATAAAATTATTATTTAAAATTAGATTTTGTCGGGGAGATTTTATCGTGTCACCAAAAAATTAGTTTAGAGTAGATTTTAAAAAATAAATTATTTATTTAATTTCATGAAAAATAAATTGTTAAAAATATATAATACTATAAAATGTCATTGCAAAGGTCTTTATCTAAATTTGTGCCTTTTCAAGGTTTTATATCATTCTCACCGGAAGTCAATTTGTTATAATTATTTAGGCTGCATTCGAAAATATCTCTAGATACATAATAAAGAAATGACCTTGTATCTTGTGAAATATTGACATTTTTCAGAATATAAGCTCATCTCAATGCTATACTCATCAAGAGCTTTCATTTGAGTACCCACATCAATTTTTCATATATTTTATATATTTATATATATGAATATATGAAAAATATATCAAAAATCCATGTGGGTGCTCTAATGAAAGCTCTTGACGAGTATAACATCAAAATGAGCTTATATCTTTAAAATCATCAATAATTAAGAAAGTACAGTGCAATTTAACAAGTCATTATTTAATAAAGACCTTATATCTTGTGAACTGTTGACATTTTTGAAGATATAAGCTCATCTTGATGTTATACTCATCAAGACCTTTCATTTGAGTATCCACATCAATTTTTTATATATTTATATATATTATACATATGAATATATGAAAAATATATCAAAAATGTATGTGGGTACTCAAATGAAAACTCTTTACAAGTGTAACATCAAAATGAGCTTATATCTTTAAAATCATCAATAATTAAGAAAGTAAAGTGCAATTTAACAAAAGTCATTATTTAATAAAGACCTTGTACCTCTTGAAATAGTGACATTTTTCAAGACATAAGCTCATCTTGATGTTACACTCATCAAGACCTTTCATTTGAGTACCCACATCAATTTTTCATACATTTTATATATTTATATATATGTATATATGAAAAATATATCAAAAATGCATGTGGGTACTCAAATGAAAGCTCTTGATGAGTGTAACATCAAGATGAGCTTATATCTTTAAAAACATCAATAATTAAGAAAGTACACTGCAATTTAATAAAACTCATTTTTTAAAGCAAAATTTTTATATAGTTTCCATAGTGACTAAGGTTGCTAGTTTTTATTTAATAAATTAGAAAAAAATGAATATTTGTTTTGCACTTAAATTTTTTCAAAATTAATAAAAATCAGCTAACTTAATTTTCTCAATTAAAAAAAAAAATTTAATTACAAACAAGTTTTATGCTAGAGTAAAAAAAAACAAAACCCACCTTTTTGGCGTGACAATACTGTTTATCAATGACCTCCCCAATGACATAAATCTGCTTGGGAATACCATCGGAGCCAGTCTTCAACCCAAGGAGATCAACACAGTCCGAGTGGAGGAAATACATAGTAGTAGACTCTTGAAGAACAATGTAGCTAGTATGAACCGAGTCCCAAAGAACGACCACGCAGTCGCCAGTGTTGCAAGTGTGCAAGCTGATGGAAAACTGGCTGAGCAAGCTGTTGGTGCTCTTTATCAATTTCTCGCGAAAGATTCCTTTAGAAGCGGCCAGTTCTTCATGAGCCTCAACAACCGCGACCGAAGCAATCATGTCCTTGTCCCTGGACTCGATAGAAGAGGCCATACCGCTGTCACTAACAGATCCAAGACTTCTTCCAGCGAATCCTCTGAGAGCGCGTTCTTTTACTAACTCGATCTCCAGACGAACTTTGTCTGCCTCCAGAGCCTCCACGCGGGTCTCAATCGAGTCCCTGCTCTCCCTGGAAGCTTTTAACTCCGCACTGAGCCGCTTGTTGTCCACCTCGAGGATCTCCAGGCGCCGGGTCAGCGAATCAGTCTCGCTCTTAGCTTCCAGCCTGAGATTCAGCGACTCTTGCTCGCTTTTTGACTCCAACCGGACCTTCTTAGACTCGGAGACGTCAATGTCGTCCTTGCTGGTGGACAATTGGGTCTCCAGGTCATGAAGCTGAGCCTCTCTTTGCTTCAGCATCTTCCTATCAGCCGACATCTTGCTCTCCAGGTGAAAATTCTCGGCTTCTAAGGTGGACACCTTCTCCTTGAGCACCTGGTGCGCTGAGTGGTCTTCTTCTGTCAAACGTCTGATCATCTCCTGGTACTGGCGGCACTGATCCACCAAAACTGTCTCGCGGAGGCGCTGAGACTCCAATTCTGAGGTCAGCTTCTTGGTAGACAATGCTAAGGCGTACTGCAGCTTCGCTTCGAAGTCTGAAGACTCTTTCACTAGAGCTTGGCGCACTGCTTCTGCTTTTTCCGACTCGAGGTTTTCTCTCGTCTGCGCGAGGATTGATTCATGGTTCGATAGTTCTATCACATCTGGACGCTGAAATTTAAAAAAATTTTCTTTTGTAATAATTAACTCATTTAGGCTCTTAATATCTCAATAAATTTATTTAGATAAGAAATGACCTTGTATCTCGGGAACTATTGATATTTTTTAAGATTTAAGCTCATCCTGATGGTATACTCATCAAGACCTTTCATTTGAGTTTTCACATCAATTTTTCATATATTTTATATATTTATATATTATATATATATATATATATATATATATATATATATATATA